ATACTGGTTTGGTGGTGATGAACTACTTTAGCTTTTTCTTGTCTGGGAAACTCTATATATTCTTCCATCCTAAATAATAACTTTTGCTGGGTAGAGTAATCTTGGATGTAGGTCCTTCCTTTTCATAACATTGAATATTCCATGCCAATTTATTCTGGTCTGCAATGTTTCTGTTAGACACAAAATGACAATCTTACAGGAGCTCCCTTGAAGATAACTAACTGCTTTTCTCTTGCTGCTTTTAAGGTTCTCTCTTTGTCTTTAACATTTGGCATTTTAATTATGATGTGTCTTGGTGTGGGCCTCTTTGGGTTCATCTTATTTGGGACTCTGCACTTCATGGACTTGTATATCTATCTACTTGACCAGGTTAGGGAAGTTTTCTGTCATTTTTTCTTCATGTAGGTTCTCAATTTCTTCCTTTCTTTTCTTTTTGGCACTCTTGTGATATGAATGATCTTAGGTGTGATGGTGTCCCAGAAGGTCCTTACATTCTTCTCATTTTTATAGATTCATTTTTTCTTGTTTCTGTTTAGATTGGGTATTTATTGCTTCCTTCTCTTCCAAATTTCTAATTTGATTCTCTGCTTCATTTACTCCACTGATAATTACCTGTAATGTATTCTCCATTTCAATTAGTGTATTCTTCATTTCTGATTAGTTCTATTTTATGTTTTCTATCTCTGTTTTTTATGTTTCCTGTCTCCTTGTTAAAGTCCTCACTAAGTTCATTTATTCTTTTCCTAAGTACATTGAGCATTCTTATAATAGTGTTTTGAACTCTGCATTTAGCAGATTGCTTGTCTTCATTTTGTTTAGTTCTCTTCCTGAAGTTTTTTTATTTAGGACATGTTTCTTTGTCTCCTCATTTTTATGGTCTCTGTGTTTATTTCTATATATTGGGTAGAGCTGCTATGTCTCCTGGACTTGGTAGAGTGGCCTTATGCAGTATGTATCCTGTAAGGTCCAATGGCAAAGTTTGCATGATCACTCAAGCTGGGTACCCGAGGTGTGCCCCTCCATCTCCAGGTGGGCTGTGTGCACCCTTATGTTGTAGTTGATTCTTGATTGCTGTTGACACATCAATAAGTGAGATTTACCCCCAGGCCAATTGGCTGCAAGAACTGACTGTGACTATTTTGGTGGATTAGCTGTGTAGGGGCCTACCCCATGGAGCAGGACTTCAGCAGGGCTCTGGTGGCCACTGAGTCTGCCCCTTGAGTGTGCTGCTTATGGAGGTGGTCAGGTGTTGCTTCAATGTTGTCTGAATCTGGCCACCAGGTAAGCTGGCTCTAGGGCCTTTCAGGAGGTTCAGGCCAAGATCAGCTACCATCTGTGTTCTGCTTGAAGCTACCTAGCATGAGCCACAGATTAATCTGCGGATGGCTGCTACTTGTGCTGGGCTTGGAGGTGCCCAGGAGAGGCCAAGCTACAGTACAAGGATGGCTACTGCTAGTGCTGAGCCTGGGGCCACTTAGTGAGCTACATGGGGCACACTGGGACTAAATGCTGCTTGTTTGGAAAGACTGAAGCATGAGCCAAGAGAGGCCACTGGTGTGGAAAAGACACTAGAAACAATTTATTTCTAGTTGAGTGGGGCAAGGTCTCTGGGAATCACCAGGGCAGGCGAATAATGTGAGCCAGGTTGATGGAGACTTAAGCCTGCCCGCTAGCTTTGTCAGAAAAAGAGAGCTCAGAAAATGAACACTAGACACTGCCAGCACTTTTGTCTGGGAGACAGATGCCCCTCCAGCCCACATCCTGATGCTAGACAATTTAGTTCTTCCATGTATGTCCCTATGTCTTTCAATCTACTGCCTTAGCTCTGGAGCTCAAAGGGAGTGAGTCTAAGTAACTTTGTGTGTGGGCTCTTTAAGAGGAATGCCTGGAACTCCAGAAGCATCCATTTCATTCAGCCTCAATCCCAGCTGGTTTTTACATCCCAAAGTTATGGGGACTTCTCTTCCCAGCACTGAAGCCCTGCAGAGCTGGGGATCCTCATATGAGGTTGGGACCCCTTTGCTCCTCAGTGGAGACCTTGACAGCCAAAATATCCCTCCTGCCCTGACTGATGTGGCTCAGTTGGTTGAGTGTCATCTAGCAAAGCAAAAGGTCACTAGTTTGATTCTCCATCAGGCCAATGCCTAGGTTGCAGGTTCAGGCCCTGGTCAGGGTGCATGTAAGAGGCAACCAATCAATGTTTCTCTGTCACATCAAGGTTTCCTTTTCTTTCTCCCTCCTTCTCCCTCTCTCTAAAAACTAAACAACCCCCCAAACCCCCAAATATCCCTCCTGTTGTTTTCTTAAGCACTTCATGTGGGTGTGAGATCAGCTTGTTTTGAGTCTCTGTCCCTCCTACCAGTCTTGGTGTGGCTTCTATATATCTTTAGTTGAAAGACTTCCATTCAGCCAGATTTCAGGCAGTTCTGCATGATGGTTGTTCTGTAGTTTAGTTGTAATTTTGATGTGGTTTTGGGAGGATGGAAGTACCGCATTTACCTATGCCAACATATTGCCTGGGAGCCAACAATTCTGTTTTCTATTCATAAACTCTTATCTTTATTATATACTTTATTTTTTTTAGATTTGATTTGTTTTTTAGAAAAATCATCTTGAGATGGAAGCTTGGATCATTGATTTTCAGTATTTCTTCATTTCTCATTTATGCATTAAAGTTTTAAATTTTCATTTAGACTCTGTTTTAATCACATCCCACAAGTTTACTTGTGTATATCACTTGATTAAAATATTATATTAATTTTTGTTATAAAATATTTTGGCCCTTGGATTATTTATAAGAACTTTATCTGCTCCTTGGAAGTAGAGGATTTTGCAATTGTCTCTTTTCTATCAATTTTTAGAATACTCTTAATGATTTCAATTTTAAAAATTGAAACATAATTGACATATTATATTGTATAAGCTTAAGGTATACAATGTGTACCAAAGAATACAAATACCAAATAATTTATATAATATTGATCATGTTCTCTGACCAAATATAATGAACTAAAAAAATCACCAAATGTTTTAAATGTAAGATCATAAAATCATAGTGACCAGTGGTTCAAAGAATGAATCAGAATAGGAGTGTTGCTTAATGGAGAGCCCAAAATTAGAATTATCTTCTAGAGGGTGGGCCCTCCGTAGTTCAGGCTTCCCCCACCAAGTGAGTGTTCTAAGAACCCATCCATATTTGTGTACTAGCTGGCATTGCTGTGAGAGGCTGCATTTGGCTTCAGTTAATTATTCTGAAAGATTTTTCAATATGTTCATGATGGATGATTTATGAGCACACCTGCCCATACCACTGAGCGTTCATCAGATTTTGACCAAAAACAGCATGAGTCCCACACTCCACCCTCTCTATTCACCCAATCTTGCACTAAGTGACTTGTTTTGTTTCCCTGTGTGAAAAAAATTCCTCAAATGGAAACATTTTGCTGATGCGGAAGAGGTGAAACAAAAGAAAAGGGAGGAAGCACTAAAAGGCATCAAAATCAACAAGCTCAAAAACTTTTTTGAGCAGTGGAAAAAATATCTTAATAAGTGTATTGCATCAAATTGAGAATACTGTGCTTTGAAGGTGACTGAAGTTTAAACATGTAAGGATAAATACACAATTTTTAATAAATAAATTCAAGGTTTTGGGGAGTCCTCCTCATATACTGTTATATGATTACCACCTTAGCATTAACTAACAGCTCCATCCCATCACATATTTGTTATTTCTTTTTGTGGTGAGAACAATTAAGATTTTGTCTTCTAGTAGCTTTAAATTTTATAATAAGGTGTTGTTGACCAGATTAGATCTGTAGAACTTATCCACTATTTGCAAGTATGTGCCCTTAAATAACATCTCTGTAGGAATGATTGCAATTTTTGAGTCACTGAGGCTTGACTTATGGACCAGCATATAGTTAATTGTAGTGGTTGGTATTTTTTTATGTAATGGTAAACAGTATTGCCTTGTAAACTTCAATTTTTGATTATTTGTTGTTAGTATATAAAAGTATAATTAATTTTTAATATGCATCTGCAAACTCTTACCTTACTAAATTCACTTTTCAGTTCTAGTAGCTTTTTTTGGTAGATTCCATATGCTTTGCTACATAGCTGATCATGTTGCCTGAGAAGACAGTTTTACTTCTTCCTATCCAACATGGATGGGTTTTTATTTCTTTTTCTTGCCTGATTGTCCTGAACAGAACCTTCAGGAAAAAGCTGAACTGAAGTGGTGGGAGGGCACATCTTTGTCTATTCTTGACCTTAGGGGGAAACATTCAGTCTTTTGCCAATAAGTATAATTATAGCTGTAGGTTTTTTGTTGATGCATTTTAAATAGTTCCCTTCTATTTCTAGTTTTTATCTGAAATGGGTGTTAAATTTTGCACATTTGTTGAGGGCTTTTTCTGCATCTATTGAAATGTTCATATGGTTTTCCTTTTTTAGTTTGTTAATGTGGTAAATTTCATTGAGGAATTTTCAAATGTTAATTTAACTCTGAAGCCCTGAAACCTCACTTGGTCATGACGTATTATCTTTGAAATATATTGTTGACATTAATTTGCTAAAATTGTATTTAAAATTTTTGCTCCATGTCTATGAGGAATTTGGCTATTAGTCCCCCCCTTTTTGGGGGGTAAATTTATATGTGTGGTTTAGTATCAGGGTAGTTTGCTCTTATAAAATAGCTAGGGAAGTATTCTTTTCTCTTTAATTACTTTAGAAGAGTTTGTGTAGAATTGATATTATTTCTCACTTAAATGTTTGGTGAAATTCACCAGTAAAGTCATCTGGGATTGAGTTTTCTTTGTGGGGAGGTTTTTAACTGCAACTTCAAAATATTGAATAGATATAGGGTTACTCAAGTTATCTATTTATTTTTGAATTAATCATAGTAATTTATGTTCCTCAAAGAGAATTTCATCCAAGTTTAGTTTTAAATTTTTTGAAATAAAGTTGTTCATAATATTGTCTTATTCTTTTAATATCTATAGGACCTGTTGGATGATGTCACTTCACTTGTTCCTGACACTGGTAATTTGTATCTTCTTCATTTTTATCCTGACCAATCTGGCTAGAGGTTAATCAATTTTGTAGAAATCACAAAACCAGCTTTGGATGTCATTGATTTTCTCCATTTTTTGTTTTGTTTTCTATTTCATTAATTTCTATCTTACTCTTTATTATTTCCTTTTACTGCTTAGTTTGACGCAGATTTTCTCTTTTTCCCTAATTTCTTAAGAAATTAAGCTTATTTACTTGATAATTCTTTTCTGGTATGGGCATTTAGTGATATAAATCTTCCCCTTAAGTATTGCTTAGCAGAATCCTACATCTTCTGATATGTTGTATTTTCATTTTCATTCAGGTCAAAACACTTTCTAATTTCCCTTTCAATTTCTTTATTGATCATGGGTTATTTAGAATTGTAGGATTTGGTTTTCAGACATTTGAGGATTTTCCAGATATCTTTCTGGTAATAATTTTTCATATAGTTCCATTGTGGTTAGAGAACATATTTCTTAATTAAAATTTTATTTTTCAATTACAAATTACATGCAATATTATTTTGTATTAGTTTCAAGTGTACAGCATAGTGGTGAGATAGGCATGTACTTTACAAAGTGTCCCCTTGATATTTCTACTACCCATCTGGCAGCACACATAGATATTACAGTATTATTGACTATATCCCCTATGTTGTACTTTATACATTTCATGACTATTGTGTAACTGCCGATTTGTATTTCTCAATCCTTTCACTTTTTTACCCAGCTGCCCAAGAACCTCCCCTCAAGGAACCATCAGTCTATTATCTGTATTTATGAGTCTGTTTGCGTTTTGTTTGTATTGTTCTTTAGATTTCACATATAAATGAAATTGTGGTATTTGTCTTTCTACGAATGACTTTTTTCACTTAGCAAAGTACCTTCTAGGTCTATCCATGATGTCCCAAATGACGTCCCAAATGATGTCCCAATAAGATTTCATTCTTTTTTGCCATGAACAATGTGGCTCAGTTGATTGGGCATCATCCCACAAAGCGAAATGTCTCCAGTTGAATTCCTGGTTGGGGTATGTGCCTAGGTTTCGGGTATGGTTCCCCATCAGGGCATGAATGAGAGGCAACTGATTGGTGTTGCTTTCTCACATTTATGTTTCACTCCTTCTCTTCTTCCCCCTCTCTAAAATATGTATATAAATAAATTCAGTTCTTAAAGATTTCATTCTTTTTGTGGCCAAGTATATATTCCATTGTATATATGTACTGTCACTTTAATATGGTCGTCTATTGATGAACACTTGAGTTGCTTTCATATCTTGGCTATTGTAATTAATGCTACAATGAATATAGGGATGCATATGTTTTTAGAACCAGTGTTTTGGGTTTCTTTGAATGTATACCAAGAAGTGGAATCTCTGGGTAGGTCAGAGAATAAGACAGTTCTATTTAAATTTTTTTGAGAAACCTTCATACTGTTTTCCACAGTGGCTAGACCAATTTCCACAAACAGTGAAGAAGGTTCTCTTTTATGCACATCCTTGCCAACTCTAGTTTGTTGATTTACTGATAACAGCCATTCTGACAGGTATGAGTTGAGATCTCATTGTGGTTTTGATGATTAGTGACGTTGAGCATCTTTCCATATGATTATTGGCCATCTGTATGTCTTCTTTGAAGAAGTGTCTGTTCAGATCCTTCGTCCATTTTTTAAATTGAATTGTTTGGTTTTGGTATTGAATTCTACATACATTTTTTAATTTACCACATATGTGTTTTAAATATTTGTCGTATTGTTTCCATTACCATTTAGTCCACTTATATCTCTCTCCTCCAGCAATCATCATATTGTTGTCCATGTCCATGGGTCCTTTTTCCTTTTTGCTCAACCCCTCGATTCCCTAAACTCGCCACCCTAGCTGTCATCTTGCTCTCCATCTATGAGTCTGTCCCCATTTTTCTTGTTAGTTCAATTTGTTCATTAGAATCCACATATGAGTGAAATCGAGTGGTATTTCTCTTTCTCTGACTGGCTTATCTCACTTAACATAATGTTCTTCAGGTCCAATCACACTGTTGGAAAAGATAAAATTTTCTTCTTTTTTACAGTCAAGTAGTATTCCACTGTGTAAATGTCCCACAGTTATTTTATCTACTCATCTGTTAATGGACACTTGGGCTGCTTCTGTATCTTGGCAACTGTAAATAATGTTGCAATGAACATAGGGGTGTTTATGTTCTTTCAAATTAGTATTTTGTGTTCCTTAGCATATATTCCCAGAAGTAGGATTATTGAGTCAAAAGGCAGATGCATTTTTAATTTTTTGAGGTATCGCCATACTGCCTCCCACAGTGGCTGCACCAATTTGCTTTCCCACCAACAGTGCAAAAGTGTTCTCCTTTCTCCACATTCTTGCCAGCACTTGTTGTTTTTTGATTTATTGATGATAGCCATTCTGACAGTGTGAGATGATAGCTCACTGTGGTTTTAATGTGCATTTCTCTGATGATTAGTGATGTTGGGCATCTTTTCATATGTCTGTTAGCCATCTGTATGTTCTCCTTGGAAGAGTATCTATTCAGGTCCTTTGCCCATTTTTTAATTGGGTTGTTTGTGGTTTTCATGTTGAATTTTGTAAGTGCTTTATAAATTTTGAATATTAACCCCTTAGCAGATGTACTGGCAAATGTGTTCTCCCATTCTGTGAGTTGTCTTATTATTTTGTTGATGATTTCCTTTGCTGTGCAAAATCTTTTTAGTTTGGTGTAGTCCCATTGGATTATTTTGTTTGTTTGTTTCTCTTGCCCAAGAAGACATATCCAAAATAATATTGCTAAGAGTGATGTCAGAAATTTACTGCTTATGTTTTCTTCCAGGATTTTTATGGTTTTGAGTCTTACATTTAAGTCTTTAATCCATTTTGTTTATTCTTGCATATGGTTTAAGAAGGTATTCTAGTTTCATGTTTTTGCATGCATCTGTCCAGTTTTACTTACACCATTATTGAAGACACTGTCTCTACTCCATTGAATGTCCTTGCCTCCTAGGTCAAGTATTAATTGACCATAAAGGTGTGGGTTTATTTCTGTTCTCTAATCTATTAAATTGATCTATATGTCTTTTTTGGTGCCAATATTGTGCTGTTTTGATTACTATGGCCTTGTAGTATACTTTGATATCAGGTGGCATGATCCCTTCAACTTTGTTGTTTTTTTTTTCTCAAGATGACTGTGGTTATTTAGGATCTTTTGTAATGCATATAAATTATTGTATATTAGTTCTAATTCTGTGAAATATATCATTTGTGGTTTTATTTTTATAATTTTATTTATTTATTTTTAGAGAGAGGGAAAGGGAGAAAGAAAGAGAGGGAGAGAAACATCAGTGTGTGGTTGCCTCTCATGTACCCTCTACTGGGGACCTGGTTCACAACACAGGCTGGTGCCCTAACTGGGAATCAAGCCAGCAACCCTTTGGTTCACAGGCTGGAACTCAATTCATTGAGCCATACCTCACCAGGGCAACATTTGTGTTTTTATATGAATTGTGTTGAATCTATAAATTGTTTTGGGCAGTATGGACATTTTAAATGTTATTTACTGTTATCCATGAACACAGAATATGCTTTCATTTATTTGTATCTTTTCAATTTCTTTCTTCAGTGTCTTATGATTTTTCTGAGTATGTGTCTTTTAATTCCTTGGTTAAATTTATTTCTAGGTATGTTTTTGATGCAATTGTAAATGGGACTGTTTTCTTAGTTTCCCTTTCTCATAGATCATTATTGGTATGTAAAAATGTGAACTATTTCTGTATATACATTGTATATCCTGCTACTTTACTAAATTTATTTATCAGTTTTAATATTTTTTGTTGAAATATTTAGGGTTGTCTATATACAGTATCATGTCATTTGCAAATAATGACTGTTTACTTCTTCCTTTCCAATTTGGATGCTTTATATTTCTTCTTCTTGTCTAGGACTTCCACTACTATGTTGAATAAGAGAGGTGAAAGTGGACAACCCTGTCTTGTTCATGATCTTAAGGGAAATGCTCTAATTTTTTCCTTTTTGAGTATGATATTAGCTGTGGGTTTGTTATATATGATCTTTATTATGTTGCGATATATTCCATCTAGTCTCATTTTGCTGATAATTTTTATCATAAGTGGGTCCTGGACTTTGTCAAATGCTTTTTCTGAATCTTATTCATATGATCATGTGGTTTTTATCCTTCATTTTGTTTATATGAAGTATTACATTGATTTGTGGATGTTATACCAACCTTGCAACCCAGCAATAATTCCCACTTGATCATGGTATACAATATTCTTATTTTTATTATTTTATTTTTTATTTTTAGAGAGAGGGGAAGGAAGGAGAAAGAAATGAAGAGAAACATCAATGTGCAGTTACTTCTCACATGCCCCCTTCTGGGTACCTGGCCTGCCACCCAGGCAGGTGCCCTTACTGAGAATTGAACTGGTGACCTTTTGGTTCAGAGGCCAGCACTCAATCCACAGAGCCACACCAGCCAGGGTTTGTGTATAATTTTTTCAATGTATTGCTGGATTCAGTTTATGTTTTGTTGAGGATTTTAGCATCTTTGTTTATCAGGGATATTGGCCTATATTTTTCTTTGTAAAATCTTTATCCGGTTTTAGAATTAGGGTAATACTGGCTTTGTATAAAGACCTTGAGAGTCTTTCTTCTTTTGAAGTTTTTTGAAACATTTTGAGAAGTGTAGATGTTGAGAAAATACTTTGTGTGATTTGGATACTTTGTACTTTATTTAGACTTGTTTTATGGCCCAGAATATGGTCTATCTTGTTAAATGTTCTGTGTGCAGTTGAAAAAGAAAGTTGTATTTAAATTCTAGTGGCAGGGAGTACTAACAAACCCTAGTATCTGGGAACATTTTTGTCTCGCACACAATTGAATTTTGCAATGATCTTATATGTAAAAATAAAAATGTCTTTATTAATAACTATATGATACTATATAAATTAAAAATTATTCTTTCATTCTAG